TTTGTAAATCTTTCTTGCTAACATAAGTAGTTCCATGATGACCAAATGTCTGTTGCATAGTATGATAATGTCATTTTGAACTCCTTCCCTATATCCTGCCATATCCTATACCAGTCTGGTGTGGGTTTGATTCCCCACTCCTCCACATGCAACTACTGGTGTGACCTAGGGTCAGTTACAAGTTCTCTTAGAGCTGTTTTCTCATGGGCAGTTCTCAAAAGAGTTCTCTCAGCCCCACCTACCACACAGGGTGTCTTTTGTGGGGAGGGAAAGGAAAGGGAGATTGTAAGCCGCTCTGAGACTCCTTCGGGTAGTGAAGGGCAGGGTATAAATCCAATCTCCTCCTCCTCTTCCTCCTCCTCCTCCTCCTCCTCCTCCTCTTCTTCTTCTCCTGGCCAGGTCTGACATAAATGTCACCTTGTCAGGCCGGGCCATGTGTGCCATAAACGTAATGCCAGGTACTGGACAACAGCTTGTAGCTTCGAGTTGGTGTATCCTCACTGCAAGACCCCAAGGACTGGGAAGGGGTGTAGGGGAAAACCCACATGGACGGACTGGAGAGCCAGTGGTGCAGCACTGGGCAGATTTCTCCCATGCTGCTTGACTGCTGCAGACGAGGTTGTTCTGCCACGCTGAAGCCACAACCGGAGTGGCTCTGCCCACGCCTCCCTGAGCAGTCTCCTGTTCCCTCCCTTGCACTAGTTGCTAAGGGGCCACATAAGAGCCCTGGATGGGTTGATTCTGGCCCCCGGGCCTTATGTTTGACACACCTGGCCTATACGATCTCTGACCATTTCTGTGCAAAGTAACTTTAATAGAAGTTTCTGAAATACTGCACTGTTGTACATAGGCAAGTGAAAATTATGCTGAAAAGGAAGGGAGAAATTGATAATGAAAATTTCCCTTTTCCCCTTCCTTTTCAGCATAATTTTCATTTGGTCCTATATAGATTAATATTAGTATTGCAATAGTTGACCTTGCGTGCAAAGCTGGTCCTCTTCAGTTGCTGCCAGCTGCCAGCTTGTGAAGACTTTTTTGTCCAATGATTCCTCCTTCCTGCCCTTGGTGGCCCTGATGAGGACAGAAAGAATATAAATTATATAAATAAATAAATAAATAAATATCTAACCTGCCAGAAAAGATCTGCCTCTCTTGGTCTGGGTGCCCTTGTCGTCAGAGGTGAGGTGGGTGGCGACTAGAGACAGGGTATTTTCTGAGGTGGCTTGGAATACCCTCTCCCTTGAGATTGGTCTTGCACGTACTTTACTGTTTTTTAGGCACCAGGCCAAGACACATCTTTTTACTCTTTTAATTAGTGTTTTATTTTAACCAGCTTTTAAAATGGTCGGCTTCTGGCCTGAGGTCTGTTTTGTGGATAGTTTTTGTGCTGTTTATATCTAATGACTTGTTTTTCATTGCTTGTTTTTTATGGCTTGCTGTTTTATATTTATACCTTATTTTAATTTTAAGACACCTCAAGCAGGACTCTGAAGAGGTAAGAGTTGTCAGCTCCAGCTTGGGAAATACCTGGAGATTTTGGGGGTGGAGCCTGAGAAGGGTGGGGTTGGGGGGGAAGGGAGGGACTTCAGTGGGGTGTGATGCCACAGAGTCCACCTGGAGCCGTTGTCTCCAGGTGAACTGATCTCTGTCACTTGGAGATGACTCGTAATAGCAGGAGATCTCCAGCTACCACCTGGAGGTTGGCAACCCTATGGGTGGCACCGAAAAATTCAATAAGGCTGAGAAGATGTGTGAGTTGAGGAATGTCTTCCCGACTCCAATTTCTTTCCCCAATAAAATTTTTCCCATGGAGCACAGGGAGGGAGAAGTAAAAAAAAATATTCCTCTCCTGCTGCCATCCGTAGTAGACTGCTCAGGTTAAAGGCTAGATTAGTAACTTCCTGCTTGCTCTACCACTGATACTGAACCAGGTTGCTTACTAATGTATATGCAAACCTGTTTCTACTTGGATATTATTCTCTATCTTGGCTTAATTTAAGCAGTGCTCTTTGCAGGGACATCCATATGACGTCATTCGCTATTCACTCTGTTTTCGATTTCTTTGCTCTGATTTTTTCCAAACCTGGCTTGATATGATCCTTTTGGAAAGACTGTAGTCAAAGTGCCCCTGGACATCATGCGGATAGGAAGGTGTGCATTTTTTTTAGGCTTTAACCACAGAGGTACCACTTTCCTTATCTCAGGCCCCATGATGGTCATTTCTCAAAGCGATCCCGCTAGAGGACTTTTGTTTCGTAATAGCTATAGTACCTTGACCTGAACAGCCGGGCCTGATCTTGTCAGATCTCGGAAGCTAAGCAGGCTTAGCTGTGGTTAGTATTTGAATGGGAGTCCACCAAGGAATACCAGGGTTACTACGCAGAGTCAGGCAATGGCAAATCACCTCTGAACGTCTCTTGCCTTGAAAACCCTACAGGGTTTTTGATAGCAAAAAACAAAGAAGCTACATTGCTATAATGTTATCATGATCTATTGCAAAAAGTACTGGTTCCCAGCTTTCATTTTTTTTACATTTAAGTCTATAGCTCTTGTGGTTGTAGAATTGTAATGAGAAAGGTACGGGCTGCACATTTCTCCTTAAAACTCTACAAACTCCTTAAAACATTACAGTTTGGTGTAGTGGTTAAGAGTGGTGGACTCTAATCTAGAGAACTGGGTTTGATTCCCCACTCCTCCACATGCAGCTGCTGGGTGACCTTGGGTCAGTCAAAAGTTCTTTCAGAGTTGTTCTCTCAAGAGCAGTTCTTTCAGAGCTCTCTCAGCCCCACCTACCTCTCAGGGTGTCTGTTGTGGGGAGAGGAAGGGAAGGAGATTGTAAGTCACTCTGAGACTCCAGGTGAAGGGCGGGGTATAAATTCAAGTCTTCTTCAAAAAAGGGTAGAGACTTACTTTAAAAAAATGAAAACTAGGAATTAGTACATTGTTGCAATAGATTGCTGTAACACAGGGTTCCCCGACATGGCACCCATAGGTACCATGGCACCTGCTGGTACTTCCCGTGGTACCCGCTGACCGTTCCAGAAAGTGGGTGGGGCCACTGTAAGGCAATGCTTGTTATTGGGGGCCTTTATTCAAATGAAAGGGTTTTCTGTGGCTGCAATAACAGTCAGCCACTGGAGGATTAGGAGGGCAGCACCGAGACTTTCCTTAGTCATTGTGTGATTGCATGTCTCCTTCAAGCTTTCCTTCTTCCCTGGAGGTCTGAGGAGGGAGATTTTCCATTTGGCTCCACCTCTTGCAGCAGCCATATTTTGTTTGGCTCCGCATCCCGTAGCAGCCATTTTAGGGTCTCTCAAAATTCCAAAGGTGCCCACAGTGTGGGCACCCCCGCGTAACGTTATGATGCTATGCTGATATAGCTGTTGCTTTAAAAAAGATCCTAAGAAAAGCCCTCTGGTTAATGAAGGGGGAAATTGCAGACATGGCAGGGATGATGCAAGTGCGGATGCTCCTTTGCTGCTGTGAATGTCTCTGTATTCACAGCAGAAAAAGCAACACGGAGAATTGTTGCCATGTGGAAGCAGCCCAGTGAACTTGCATGGGTCTCCTAGATCCGCCTTCATCGTTTTAACCAATACACTAACCAGGCTCTTGACACTGTTATCAATTTTGTGGCTGTGTGTAAGGGTGCAATTGTGCAACGTCATTTACTTTAAAAAATCAAATCCTCCGTTGTAGGTAGGGGAAGCACCTGTGATGGGAAATAAACAAAAATGGTAACATGCAATGGGACTACTGTCCATCAAGATGCACCTCATGGCTGAAGCAGCCTCCCATTAGAAACAATGTCCCCTTCAATGCAACAGAAACCAGTCAAATTAAGAAATTACAAAAGAGCATACTCCCAAAGAACAATAAGCCAAACCTAGCTGGTAGTTGGTCCCCGGCAAGGATGGCAGGTTGTAGAGTGCTCATGTACATTGAACAAATGATGCCATGCTGTTTATGAGAACTAACTGTGTGAGCAATTGTCCTTAAATCCTAGAAAAGGAGAGCTATTAAAATTGTAAACTTGCACCTATATATATATATATATTTGTGTGCATAAAGCAGTCATGTGTTGCATAAGGAAAGGAGGATTAGTGTTTTCTAGGTGTGTTCGTAAATATTATCTTTGTTATGGTTCTAAAAGTTGTGCAGTTACTTATGAAGTTGAACATCAGAGTCCAACAGCAGCCAAGCCAATTTCTCTGGGAGGCTTTAGGGCATGAACACAAGACCCCTTTCCTGTTGTTTGTCCCAGCATTCGTTATTCAGAGGTATATTGCTTCTGAACAGGGGAATTCCATCTAGCAATTGTGGCTGTTTTTGACAAATCTATGCTCCATTAATTTTTCTAAACATTAGACCCAATTTATGTATTCTATTTGAAGTGCTTTTCAGCCTCCTTCAGCAGTTGCAGTGAACACTTGGAAAAGAGAAACGGACTTCTAAATACATGAATGTAAACTTTCCAAAATAGTATGATGGACACTGACTTACAAACACATTTCACAGTTGCACAGTTACTTTGGGTCTTACCTTAAAAGCTGTTGTTTGCCCCACTGAGATTTTGATTGCAAAGCCAAGAACAATCTCTGTGGCTAGTCTGAATAATGAAGAAACACATAGTCGGGTTCATGTTGACTCTAACAGAACAATCCTGTGCAGAGTTGGTCCAGTCTAAGCCCATGAAAATCAATGGGCTTATACTGGAGTAACTGCATAGTATTGTCTAATTTGTTTATTTAAGCATTTATACCCCCCTTCCCCCCCCCACATTTAGGAGTCATACAAAAATACCACCTAAACAGGGATATATCGATCTTTGTTCCTGAGCTGATCCCTCCTTCTGCTCACAAAACTATGTCTGATCCATAAGTATACCAAGATGCTTTGCTCCGGGTCATCATTATATTTCCTTAGAGAAGGCACTGCTGGATTTTCACATATTGGCACAAATGAACATCTTAAACTATTGCCTCTTCTATTTATTACAGGCGCTTGTCTGGAAATCAGCTCTCTATGATCCCAGGAGAAGCATTTTCCGGCCTCTACAATTTAAAGATTCTGTAAGTAAAAATTTTTTACAGTATGCTGGCATTATGCTATTATAATTACTATGTGAAAGCTGTATTTGATGCCATCATTTTTTTCCCTTATTCAAAGGCCTACAGGTGTTTTTGTCATTTGATTTACATGATTTTATCTCTCTTACTATCAGCTTATGTCAGGATTCACTTAACAGACATTCATAAATGTGGAGTGTTTTCACATATTCCTAGTATGTACTAGTACTCATGTAGCTGCCACTTTTCGAAGTCATGCTGTTGGAGAATTCCATGAAGAATGTTCATTGCAGTTAAATAAACCCCAAACCCTGAAGTATCACTGGAATTATATGGTTTCCAGTGTGGCCAGTTTCATCCAGTACTTGAATAATACTCTGCTGATTAGCTCATAATTTAGAAAATTTCTATGCCATCTCTCTAGAGAAGTTGGGGCAATTTATGACTATTTCAATTGCTCAGCATATTCCTTCCCTACAAGCTCTCCCTTAAGTCTTACCTAATTTTTACCTAGTGCTAGGTAGCTGCGAAAGTGAAACCTACCCAGATACCACTTGTAGGGGAACAGGGACGCTGGAGCAGTTGTAAGGGAGCATGGACATGCAGATCTATTTGTGAAAATGTGAAGTGGTAGTCTTCACATAGTTTCCAATTTTGGTTCCAGTTCAGTTCAGTGAATGATAATGACTCCTGACTTTCGTGCACTTACAGAAGTGGAGTGCATGGGTGGAAAACAGTGGTAAGGGAACTAAACAGGTTCGTGTTTGGATAAGTGTTGGTGTGTGATTCCCAGTTGTGTAACTGCTAGTCAGTATTACTCCAAAAGCAATACAGTGGCATTGGCCTTATAGTACCCTGTTTTCTCCCTGATATGACTCCATCTCTGCTACTTGCCTCAAACTGAGGACTCTGTAGTAAGCATTTCCAGTGCTGGTTGACTGCACTGGAGAATTCTTCCTCTGACCATCTATGGTTATCTTCAGAGCAAATATACTGCTAGATAGCAAGATGGATTTTTAAAACTTTTTTCGTTGTTTAATTATGCATTTGCATCAGATTTGTTGTTGTTGTTCAGTCGCACAGTCGAGTCCGACTCTTCGCGACCCCATGGACCACATCACGCCAGGGCCTCCGATACCCCACAGGAACTCCAGCAATAATAAAACTGGTTCTAGCTAGCATTCTGGTCCAGCATAGCATCTGTTTAGGTGCTCACTTCTTCATCTTTGCTCTTTCCAAGGAGATACTTTACAATCCCTTTTCTGCTGCAATAAACATTTTAGTCCTGAGGGCATGCTTGGAACTAACCACAACATGAAATTGCCATAGCCGGCAAAGTTTATATGAAGCAAACAGGTAGTAACCTGCTCCTGGGATTAGAGAGTGCTGCACTGTTTACTAGGCCTTCTAAAGAATCCTGCCCTAAATCCCTGGGTTTAGAGATGAGTCGCTGCTTTATCCATAGTCTGCATTAGGCACTAAATCAAAGAAACCAAGAAAACCACAGCAAACCCACCCTGTTTCAACAAGGGCAACTCTATGCTTTGGGAACTCATGGCCTTTGAAAGCCTCTTTTTATCAGTTTACATTGGAGCTCTTCCCAGTGAAAGAACTTAAAAAGTAAGAAGTATATAGGCTTTGTTGAAACTAAAACAGCACCTCCTCCAGGTAATGACAGTAGTAGCAAAAGATGCAGGGCAATTGTGCGAAGAACACTCACAATCGTCTCTTGAGGCTAAAGTCATACCGCACACAGGAGCTTTTTTGACTGCAGGGGAAGAGAGATTTACAGAGGACAACATCCAGTGCATCTCACCTTGAGATGTAAAGAGAAAGAAAGAAGAGGGATCTTAGTTCTATGAACAAAACAAACAACCATAAACCAGCCCTGAAACGTCAGACTTTTACTATAGCTTGTTACCATATTTGCAAACATATTAGGGGCTTTAGACAGTTTTTGCATTTGAAGCGAAAAATAAAAATTGTTCCCTGTTGTGGAGAACTGGAACATGTTTTCAAAAAGAGATAATGTAGAACCCTCTCCTGAAATCTGCTGCCTGAAGCAAACTTTTCACACTACTTCATGGTAAGACTGATCCTATTTGCAGAGGTGTGTTAGGCTTGCAGTTGCACTTACAAACTTCTTTTAGGCTGTGGCCATACACACTAAATAACCCACTTTCAATGCACTTTCCAGCTGGATTTTGCCAGCAGTTTAAAAGTGCATTGAAAGTGGATTATTTCGAGGCTCGCTACAATGACCCGGGGGGAGCTCTGTGAGTGAACTTGTTGGAGGGCAGATAAGTACAGCTGCAGAGTCTTCGATCCTTCCTCTGTTTCTGGGGGAACACTTGCTACAACCTTTTGCTTGTTTCACTATTTATTGGAGCTGCAGCAACAGACAGGCAGGGGAGGCGTGTGCTGAGGAGGCCATAGGGCACAGAGGCTAATCTTTCTTGGGACTTGTTAGAACGAGGCTTGAAAAGCACCAAGCAGGGGTTGCAGGAAGACTCTTGCTTTCATCAAAACCAAAATGCTTCAAGCAAGGAATGCAAATTAAACATCACTCTCAGATGCAGACTGTCTCTCCTGATCCATTCCACTTCTAACAGCACACAACGTCTAGCTCAGCTGTCCCTGGGTAGTCTTTGAATGCCTTTGAATGCCTTTCTTCCACCTGTTGCTCAGGCATTAAACTATGGCCCTGGTCACACGGGAGTTTTTGGCCCGGAAGAGGGACGGATCAGGGGCGCAGCAAACGGGTGTGATCACACCGTAATCCGTCCCCGATCCAGCCCTTCAGGCCGAAAATGCGCTGAAAAAAAGAACCAGCAAAAGAGGAGGACTTACCTGAAATGCCGCAGCAAGCCTGTCTTCTGGAGCATTCGAGGCTCCCAGCTGAACTGCGCATACACACATATGCGCAGCTGGCTGCCTCGCGCTCCCTTCCGTGGCTTTCTCCACGGCATCTGATCGTGCCGGGGAGCAACTGCATGGCGGCTCACGGGATCCATCTGATCCCGCCGCCGTGTTTTTCTTTTGGTGTGGCTTTAAAAAGCCGCACTTTGGCCGCATCAATTTCCCCCCGTGTGGCAGGGGCCTATGTAAGGCTTAATTTGAGCCAGGAGATATTGTAAGACACAGACACAGAATGTGTTTTGAATAGCCAGAGCTCAGTTTTGGAACATGTGCTTTCTTTTAGCAGAGAGATGCTAGGGCTCCAAAGTACCTAGGAGTATTGGCATCTGTAGGTAAAGAAGTAGACATGACAGCTTATTCTTGAATAAGCCTGGTAGTCTTTGAGTTGGTACAGTCTCTTTTTTGTTTTTGTGACATCGGACTCATACCGCTACTCCGCTGGAATTTATAGCCATCTTCCCTAGAAGTCCAGCTCCTTAATCTTGTGCAAGGAAAGGCTGCAGTTACTTGGCGGGCCAGGCAAAGGCACTCTTCTGTATTTAGATGCCTTGTTTCTTTTTTATTGCCTCAAATATTTCAAAACACATTTCAAGACTGAAAGCAGATTAAAGGGTTGCATCTAAATAAAGTTTGTAAATAATGGCAATAATAAATAATAATATTTAAGCATATGCAGAATACATTTTCCTTGACACTGAGATACTACAGCCCGCTGCTATCACACTTGATCTTCAGAGACAGGCCTTTGGGGTCAGAGAAACTGACATCCAGGTAGGTTTCTGGGTTCTAGGCAACTGAAAACTCAGGTTTTTTCCCCCAAAAGTATCAGAACTGATTTTTATTAGGGAGACTATTGACTAGTTGTTTATTGACAATAGTTGCTAAGTAGCATTTATTATAGCCCTGTTCACACGAGACGTTTTGGGCCAGGAGAGGAACGGATCGGGGCCGCAGCAAACGGGCGCGATCCCACAGCAACATCTGGGAATCGTGCTGCGCCTGTTCCCAATCCGCCCCTCCCGGCCAAACCCCGCAGCAAAAAAGAACCACCTACCTAGGTGGTTCTTTCCGAAAGGCCGCATCACTGCCGGCCGTGGGATTGCCGGCGCGTCTTTCCGCCGGCGCATCCCTGGCCCCCGGCCGTACTGCGCATGCTCGAGCATGTGCAGTTCGGCAGCCTCCCCCTCCCAATCGTCTCTTCCTCCCCGGCATCTGATCGTGCCGGGGAGCAACAGCGCTGTGGCTCAGTGGATTGTGGGATCCCGCCGTGGCGTCTCTTTTTTGGTGCGGCTTTTAAAAGCCGCACTTTGGCCAGTGTTTTCCCTGCCGTGTGGCATGGGCCTATGATTGCTAAATTTGCTAAGTCTGCAACCATTAGGTAATATAAGTTAAATTTACCCTTTTTTGAATAGACCTAGAAGTTTCTGAAATAAATTGAGCTAAGGTGCAAGGAGATCATTGTATTCCAGGAAAAGGTGGCTGCACAGAATGTTCATTGGCTGGCCCTTGTGCCACTCATAATATCACTTAATCCCCCCACCCACCCACTGCAATATTTCAAATGTTTAAAAAAAAAACTGGAGTAGCTCTTTCAAATAGGGTACAAAATAAGGGTTTAAATTAATGAACATCCCAGACATCTGAGGGGGGGGGGGATTAAAAGCATAAAGTATGGGAAAGTGGTGAAAAGCCATGTTAGAGTCCAGAAATGGATATGTGGGTCAGGAGAGGAGCAAGGACAGGCAGTGTCAGTGCTTCACCCATAGCATAAAAACTCACACCTACTCCTGGGAGGAGTGTGTCTGTTCTCACCCTTATGTTGTATACCCCCCAGAAGCTTAGCTAGGCATTGGTCACTGTCTGTTTAAATAGCAAGGGTATTTTGCAAGATTTCTGTAAGAGTTGCCATGCTATGTGAAAGCATCTGCCATTAGAGTATTCCTGAGATCTAAATTCAAGTGGCCCAATGACTTGAGTGTGGTTTCTTTGTACCCCACTGTCTCTTTTCATAATGATATTGAGTTGACTGTATCCATGTGGCAAAGTGCTCAAACTAGTTGATTTGTCACATTGCAATAATTCAT